CAGTTGTATCCCCCTGGTGGTGCTGAAGTGTATCCGACTGAAACTTCGACCACCAATCTACTCGAAACTGCGATAAGTATTGCTGAACCATCAGCTGCACGATTAAGTGCGTTGGCGTCCGTCCTACCTCCGTAACTGAAAGCCTCCCCTCCCCCCTCCTCCCGCCGCCTGTCACCTGCGACAGCTGTCGCACGATACTGCCAGATCTCTTCCTCCTATTCTTGTTTAAGCTTTCATACGACTCATCCTCCCTCTCGTGGGGAGAACAATGGCCCTATTCCCTACCCGTTCCCGGCTCTCTCTCTCACATCGAACCGTTTCCCTGTCTGCGTGTGAACTCACGCACACTGCTACACGCCGCGTTACCATGAGAAGAGGGCGGAATTATCATGTGGGTGGCGGTGTCCTGTGTACCGCGTTTTATCCGTCGAATTCGTCCCCGTCCCCGCCATTCTATCTTTCTTTTTTCTCGGACATGGCTTTAGTTTTTTTTCTCCTCACCGCTACCTGCGTTCTCGCTGTGTTTTATTGTCTACGAACTCAACGCTCATCCTACCTGCACTTGATGAAGACTGAAGATTTTTCTATGGCATGTGTCTTAGCTCGCTTCGTGCTCGTCTTTTCCGACTACTGGGGCTTTTTGGGTGGGGGGAGGAGCGCATGATGCACGCATTCGCAGACCTTTCGGGAGCCGGCAACCAACTTCTGTTTCGTCCTACAGGTTTTCCCCAGGAAGTAGGATTCAGTGTGTTTTTATCCAAGTAATTTCTTGCAACGGCAGTTGAAGGAGTAACCATTACTTTCCTAGGGGAACCATTCAGCTGGCTTCTATGGCCTGGCAGGAGAACCAATCAGTGGGCTCCTGCAGTCAAGTGGGTGGACCAGTTTGTGGGACCTGTAGCGGCTAAGCGGTGATGGTGTACGCTCAGTACGCCACAACTTCATGCCATATCCCAAGTTGTTGGAAGCAGGACGCCATTCGGTTAGGACACTTTATTTTGTACAGAATAGTGAAGGGGAAATTTGGCAACTGGCGTCCGGCGCCGCGGAGGCGGCGTCCGCGAGAACGGCGAGCCCTGTGTCGCCGAAGGTCGCCGCTGCAAAAGTGTCGTGGCATTTTGTTTACGCTAGTGTTCTGGACCGCTCCCACCTGTCTTACCAATCAGCGAGGGGAGTTTCGTTTCATTTCTCCTTGAGGCTTTTTTATGCGGCGTCCAAATCCGTATGACGGTTGATGCACGATTCATCCGAGTACACGGCCTCAAGGTACTCTCGACCTTTTTTGAAAGGCCAGACACCTACAATCCGTGTTCTGTCCCAAGCAAACGTGTGCCCTGTGTCCAGAGTATGGATGGCTACTTGAGACAGGTGGTCTCGACTCTTTGCTCAATTTAGTGCTCGTGAATGCGCGTAGAGGCGGATTTTCCTGTTTGACCACAATAAACAGCATCACAGACCTCGCATGGGATCTTGTGGACGACTTCCTTTCTATCTAAATAGCCGACCCTATCATTAGGGTGTACTATCTGAGTACGTAGTGTAGTTGGTCTGTGTCCCACTAGGATTTGGTGTTTCCTTAGGTGCCTTTCAGAGTTCAGACACCCTTTTAATGTAAGGGAGAGTTTGCCAAGTGTTTGGTTTCGGTGCCTGATCGAAAGTACTTGATGCCTTTTCTTTTGACTCGTTCTCTCTCATGCATCGGCTCACAAAATGCCGGACATGCTCGCATCAGCGGCGTCTGCCCTACCAAAAAAGGCCGAGAAGTTCATGAAGCCATGCACTCAGATGAGTCAAGCATTAATCGGCATATTGAGCTGGACGCCATGTACAAAAATCTCAAGGAGGACTGGAAGAGACGAGAACCAATCGGTACGCAATAAGGTACGCGGCAGACGCTTACTGGCAGAATCGCCGGAGAGGTATGGATTTTTGGGCACATTTACCCAAGTCTGACGGCGACAAGGGGAACCGACGTCGCAAATTTACTAATGAAATTCTTTCTTTTCCCAACGAACTTACGAGCTTCAAACTATATATCTCTAGATGCCTGCCTTTCTATTTATGCATATATGTGTGCCCTCCTGCCATCATATATATATATATATATATATGTATAGGCGGTATGTTATTACCTAAAAAAGACAAGGTAGACTGGACTGGCCATTTCTGGCTTATTAGCCGTCGTTAGCCAGCCATATTTGTATATGAGAGGCTGTAGGGCGATCACGATAATCATGATTTTGTCTTGACGTTTTGAAAGCGAACAATCTTTCATCGTCGCCGGTAGATTAACGTACGACGCCTCACTGTATTCAGTGAGTTGTTCGCGCTGACATGCGATTTACTTCAAGGTCGTCTGTGTGCTGTACGGCGAGGTGGGTGATTGTTGCCACGAGGGCAGAGGCCTTTTCCCACGTTCGTGAGAATGGGACCTGAAAACGAGATACGTAGGCTACAGACGGCAAATATGGACGACGCGAACGAGAGCAGTTTCCGTTGTCACCTCGACGCCGCCCTCCTACCCCCTCCCCGCTGTCGAGGGATTGGGAGATCCTCCGCCCTCATGAGTATAGTCACCCACATCGCTGGGCAGCACTTGGACGACCTTGAAGTGGCATGCCAGTACGTACAACCCCTTAAATACTGTGAAGCCCCGTACGTTACCCACTTTCGACGACAGGAGCTTATTTGTTTCCGGAACATCAGGGCAATAAAATCACTGTTCACGTGATCGCCTTACTGGGCATACATCGGACAAAAAGACGATCTCAGAAGTCGTAATTGCATTCCGCTGACGTTTCTATTGGCGTCAAGTTGGCACTTGTATTGGGGAAGAAATTGTGGCTTGCTGGACCTTTTTGTGAAGGATTGCTTGTATGATCTCCTGAACGGGTTTTTTAACCAGGCCATAAAATAACTCTGGAGGGATGATAGTTGGTAGCCCTGCCAGTTAGCGATCCTTTCCTGCAAATCCAGTTTAAGGCAGTACGATTTCAGTAGCTGTGATTACGTTCTCAATATGTCTGGGAGTGCACTCGCAGAAGCTCTGTCAGGGTGACTTTCTTGTTCACTTTAACCGCCCCGAAAACGAGGCGCTGCAAAAATGCCTATATAGATTCATCGTACTGCACCCCCACACGGAAATCTTTAGTAAAAGGCGAAAGATTTATCCTAGGCGGATTATGATTCATCATGCTTCTCATTACCATCCTAGGCGGATTGGCGCGGGTTTCCGTTTTGTCGGTTTGCCTGCGTCCTTGGGTCTTTTTATTCCAGACCTCCTGCAGAGTCCGGCGTGATCGTGTACGAAAAGGACAACCGTCGCGCAGATAGGGTGTCTACCGATACTCCACCCACGTATAGCACACAACTACTGCCATAGTTTTAATTCTAAGTGTGGCCGCAGTGGCAATAAACAATTATTTGCGGATTTTCTCTTCCGCCCAAACATATTCTTGGCTTTAAAGTCTTACCCCGCTTGCGTTATGCCGTCCTGCGTGCCGCTGCTTGATTCCCGTGTTCTCATGTCCATTCTGTCGGTTTGAGTACTATCGCACATACTGAGGAATGACCTTAAGACACACTTCCTTCTTCCCATTGGTTGTTCACCTTCAGTTGCTATTCTTTCCAATCTGGTGTAAGGCCGCATTTATTCCGCATACCGTTCAAATTAACCATGCTCATTTCCATACCCTTCTTGCATTTTTCACCTTAGTTAAATTAGGCTTTCACTTAAGCAGGAGCGTCAATTCCAGGCATACACTACCAGCGCCATTTACGCCTCCGCTCATTTGCCCCACCCGTATAGCTCCTATTACCACCGGTCCCGTAAGACAGGTAGCTGGGAGTTTTCGGCACCAGAAGGGCTAACAACTACCATCTAACCATAACTCTTGTTAAGGAAACATTCTAACATATCCATCATGTACGAATAGGGAAATCAGAGGAATCAGTCCGTCACCAGTCACTACAAGCCGGATGCGGCTTACCTGTTAGTAATCTCGACGGCTTTCTGAAGTAAGCAACCTTTTACCTCATATTCGAACAGCATGGGGCAGCAGAATCGAATAACTGGATGAAGAGATCGCTGAGTTCGTACTGGCCGGGATATCGGGTGTCCTGGCAACTAACACTACGGGTGTAAGTCTACCAACTTTTGCTCGTTGCAGAACCAGTCCTTTAAGAGTCACATTTTGAACTTCCATTTCTAACTGACGAACTGTTTATGACACGATAGTTGGTGTATTCGTACGTGTGTAGGCGACTTTCCCCCTAAAGCGGGTCACACGGTAGATATGCTGAGCCTACACGTAGGCCAGATTGAACTCCACCAGGCATTGTCGGAAATGCGCACTTATAAAAAGTGTCAACATCCAGAGTTTAGCGGCAGGCCCAGTTGCCAGCTCACGCAGCGCCGAGTGGAATTCCTGTCGCACCTCCATATCTATTACTGTTTAAAATCCTGCTCATGTGTTTGTGGACCAGGGTTTGTGGTGGTTTACTCCGTGCCAGCCACCTGTGTTCTCTTTCGTCTGCGGTCATCTTGACTCGGTCTTGATACCGGACCCAGGGGGGAGGGGGCGAAGGTGCGATAGATGCTGTGCATGTCCACCATCACTATAAACTAGCTCGCTCCCCAGTTTACCGTCCCTGCGCTCACCCTGTTATTGAGCACACGGGGGACATACTCCAAATCGAGGTCCGAACTGTCGTATACGGGACTGCAGTGACCCTCAGTCGCATACTCAGTACAACTCTGTGTTGTCGCCAATTTAATCACCCTCTTTATGAAACTTTGGTGTTCCCACCAATTCCGTGTCCTGCTTACTCGAGTCATAATTCTGAAATTCGACAAACCAGCAGACTTATCTGGCAGTTTTTTACGATAGGTTGCGGACCACCTCCATTAGATTTGATCATGGAAATGGATGGCTTTGATGCTTTATAGACGCCCGCGGACGCGGAATTCGGCGGGCATACAGTGTCCATGAACAGTTCAGCTAGCTAAGATGGACTTTATTTGCAGCACAATTTCTCATGGTTTCACATGCTGTGGGAGAACGCAGGCTGCTGGCTTGGCGCCAGCCGATGCCTTCTTCTGGATCACCACCACCACCAACAGCTCTTCCTGCATCATACTTCTCCTCGCCAACCCCCTTAGTCCTTTCCAGAGACAGCCGTCGACCCCGATCCGTCGGTGATACCTCAACTGCAGCAGACGCCAGGCTATCATTGCTGGACTGTTGACTGCGCTGACATCGGCGCATATGTTGGACTAGGTCGCTGGTGAGTTGGAAGGCGCTCCAGCACTTGGCGCACCAGTTTCGCGTCAACTGATGCTGGTGCGGATTCCCGGCGGACTGGCTCAGGGGTCCGTCCTCAGAGGCTGCTGGGAGGAGCAGTCCGCTGAAGAGCTCTCGTATGATGGGGTTGTTTGATTCAATCCTCAGAGGCTGTCCTGGGATGGCCCTGGCGCTGGTGGATGGACAGTGTGGCGTCAGCTGAAAGCTGTCAGCTCGCGCCTGGGCACCCGGCTGACCAATCGTGAGCGGAGGTCTGTGGTAGGGGGCGTCCGGAAGCAGATTTTTGGTGTCCGCGGCGGTGATGGGACCCAGGGGACGTTGGCAGCGAAAGAGTCGATGACAGATGTAGGGATATATGTGCAGAAAAGCCACCTGACAGGGCACGCATCGTAGAGCCTTCTTGTTGGAGAGTTGGGCTGATAAAAGTCAAATCAAGGCAGGTGGATATTTGCTGCATAAGAAATGTCATATCCAATCAGGAATGGGCGCATATTGGCTTCGCGAAGCAAACAAGCTCCGTATGGGTGGCAAAGGTCACGAACAGGCAACCAATTACCAGGCCGATGTCGGCCAAGTCATGATAGCAGCGAGGAGGGAGGACAGAGAATGCGGGTAGATTGATACTGTACTGTTTGGGGCTTATTGTGCCTTCATTCAGCCAATGATAACCCTGACCGACAGCAGCTGGAACCAGAAACACAAACATGCGCACAGACGCACCTGGCGCAGTCGGTCCACCAAATGTCATATTGCTTATTCGGTAGGACTACACAATGAATAGACCATTTTGCATTTAGAGTGAGATGTTGGTGCTAAATATCAATCTAAAAGTCTAATTCGCATCAACCATGGTTCGCTCGAGACTGACTGAGCTGTCAGGGTGCACGAGGTAGGCAAAGTAAATATCGGCCATTTAAACACTCACAACAAATAGTCCATTTTCGTCCATGGAGTCAGTGTACTCCTAACAAGACATGCAGTTTGTGTGCCTACTCACGAAATGTCGACTGAAATTCCGAAATGCGTTTTCGTTCTGAAAAGATTAATTAAGTAGGCTTGTAAAACCAATCATAATGCAGCATACTTCTATAATAATTCAGTTATCCTAGGACGCCGCCTTTCGAGCAAATTTCCTATCTGCTGCCCATAAAAACTATACGCTGCAAAAATGGCTACTCAATTAGCATGTACTTTTCTCATGAATTTTGATGCCCTTAAAAATTATACTTCACAGAAAACATGCTTTAAAATGCTCGTCATTTTGCTCATTCGGCAGAAATTTACGTTTTCTTCCAGTTTTATACTTGAAGGAAGGGTAAAAATCGGCTTTAGAAGAGTTTTCATTTGTGGGATTTTTTAATTTCGTGAAATGGCCGTTCATAAAACGTCATGTCTCTGCATTTACCAATGTGGTTTTTTAAGTTAACAATATGACTCAAATCCACTGTTAAATTTTATGAGCCCCATATGGTCTTCTCTTAATGCCACAGAGAAATGTATGGTTTTCCGTATGCGGAAAATATGCGGCTTGTGGTTTGGAAACCCTAATGCGAGCGTAACGGCAGGTCGGGTTTAAAATTATTCGGGAATTGGAGAAGTGTATGGAAACCGAGTTATACCCTTCCTTCAAGTATAAAATTGGAAGAAGGCGTAGTTTTCTACCGAATGAGTAGAAGCATGAATATTTTACATATGCTTTCCAGGAACTATAATAGAGTTCTCAAGGGCATCGAAAATCCATGAGAAAAACGCATGTTAATTAAGTAGTCGTTTTTTACGAAATACACTTTTCGCCTGAAGGAGGAAAGAAGTTCGTTCGAAAGCCGACATCCTGAGGTAATTGAATTATTATAGAATCACGCTGAGCGATGATTAGGTTAACAATCTTAATTAATTAATCTTTTCGGAACGAGAACGCACTTCGGAATCTCGGTTGACATTTCGTGAGTCAGCCTATTTACTGTATTTTAAAGTGATTATGTGCCGCAACAAGTTATTGAGGATCAGAGAATGCCTGAGAACATTCTTCTTTTTCACTCTTCTCCATGACTCGTCCTGATTTTGACCGTCCTTGGCCTCCCTCCCTCCCTCTCCCCAATTCTTCTAATCTCTTGAACACCTTAAGCGATAAACTATCGCGAGATATTCGTGAAGTCGGCACCTGCCAGTTGCATCAAAGGCAACTTCCTCCTACAGTGGAGTATCGCAAGTTTCGTCTTACGATAGGCAGCCACACTCAATGTTATTTGATTTTGTAGAAGTCATCAAACAGTGAGAGTCATCGTTCGATTTCCCTCTTTTGGGAAACTTTTCGATATTTTTATCTAGACGTATAACACGTTTAGGGTAGTTCTCTTTCTTCAAATCTCTATGTCGGAGTGTTTGCATTTTTCAACTTCCAGGGTCGTCATTCCACCCAATGGTTGAAGTACATTCCACGGAGCTGATGACTAACAATGCATACGCTTCTCAAACCAGCAAGATTTTCACCAAAATGCGGAGGCAGAGAAAAAAGAAGAGAATCGTTCGACTTAGGATAGGCTACCTTTGCAAGGCATTCGAATTTTTAGCACTTTTTATGCACTCAGTGTACTGACGACGGTTAGGCGGCCAAACTGACTGAAACACCGACGGACATCCATTTTCAACGTTTAACTTATTACAATAAATGACTGACATCATTAGCTGACTGACATGCTTACAAACAAAAGTTTTTCGAATTCAAGAGTCTGATAAGTGTCTTCTTTCAGAAGTTTATTTAGGAAATCATCTTCGCTTCCATTATGACCATCCAACTCCGGATAGTTTCTTTCTCCGGCGACCTCTTAATGTATAAAATCCAGCAAATCACTTCCTGGATTAGACGAGTGTAGGAGAATCCAGAACACTTTGGGGGAATTTACTGATATTGCCAAAATCTGAGCCCGCTTTCTACTGTCTTACATAAAATCGAACTAAGTTGTACGAGCCTACACGAGTTGACTATCATCGATTATTATCGATTTTTGCTCTTATCGCCCTCACTGTGATTGTCGTCACTTAATTGGTGGGATGGCGGTAGCGATTGTGATTATGTCCGCATAGCCAGTCAGTCTGTGGATTGGGCCTCTTCCCATTAAACTGCAAAATTTTATATTAAGCCACATGCTCTATCAGCAGTATTCGAAAAACCCAAGTCAGTTAAAATCGAAAAATGCGTGGTGGTTGAGGCCAAGAAGAATAAGAAAATGTCAAAGGATAAATAGTTTGAGAGAAGTTTTTTTGGAAATGATGTTACTCTATATAATTTAAATCGCGGCAGGGCTTATCAGCCTAACCAGTGTGCGTATTCCAGTTAAATGTTGGTCAAAGCCGCAATTCGTCTACTCAGCTAATCAATATACTGACCAGTTGATTAAACAATGCCCTCAACAAAATACAAAAAAATTCCCTCTGCGGTCATGTCTCTAGGCATACCGTTGTTATGGGAATTCTTGAAGCTGGTTTGCAAGACTGTTATTAACTGCTAAGAAATCGGAAAGTGACCTAACTTTTTAAAAATAAATTAAGTCATCGTCCTCAAAGTCAGCATATTCGAGAAAAACCTAGACAATGTAGACATGTGTGCCACTGCGAGTTTGACATCAAGGGATCCCGCCATTTGCTCTTGGCCACTTTCTGGACCACACGTGGGTTTTTTCTACTTATTTCCTCGTAGTAGCTGGTGGCATCGAATTTTAGACGCCTCTGTCCTTTTCGGAATGGCCTGATGAGTCGCGCCACCTACGTAGCTCATTGGTTGGTTGAGTCGAGTACCACTCTTATCTATTCTCAAGTCACGTGGAATTTGCCTTAATTGTACATCAGTTTGTATGTTTTACTCGCCATATAATGGTTTTTACAACTGCTTGTCTGAACTACGATCATGGGGTCATATGTACACTACATGGGTGTGAAGTATATACAATCTGGCGTACATTTGGCGTCAACTTCAACGACGATTGTCAATGGTGTCGACAGTTGCAATTTCCGGTTGGTATGTCACATTTTTAATAATCTGGTGCTATTTATTTCGTCTACTCAAGGTGAATATAAGACGTTTTTGCTGAAAATTTTAACCAATATTTCGAAATAAAGCGTTTTTTCCCTCCTTTTTCCTTCCCTTCATCATCATCATCATTTTCATTTTCTTCTTCTGTCTGTAAGCCAAACTGTAATCGATGGATGGCTGATCATAGATTATTGGCGGGGCTTCAGTTCACCAGACGCTTACTAATTTTTTTCGACTCTATTTCCAAAATGGCACTCGATTTGAACCTTATATAGTCACATGCGGTGCCTAAAGGATTGCAGTATGCAGCCAAACTCATGAAACACTACTAATCGTTCGAAATCCTGACGAAGTTAATGGGCGAAAGTATGAATTAATAAACAGAAAACAGCAAAAGGCGCTTAAAGCAAAATTGTTGTTTATAATTAACATTTTTGGAAGAGTTAAAATTGCAAAAACGTTAAAAACCGCTGTAAGTGAGTAAACCTAAGCCTCAGATGTAGAGAGAGTCTGTAAGTTTTAGGAATGAGGATTTAAAATAGACCTTTAGTGAAGATTTCACTCAAATGCCCCGTGTGAACTAGTTTAATATCAAATATGACAGTTTGCCAACAGTTTACATTTCGAGGATAGATTCCAAGATGTTTCATGAGAACTGGCTGCATCTTTTCGACTGAACATTGTTTTAGATACGTCCGCCAACGGCAAACGAGAATTCGCCTGATTGTTTTGATAGGGGCGTCGTGGCGATGACAGTCTTCTCTCTTTGCATTGGATCTATATTCACCCTGTTTGCTTACAAATAGGTTTCGTTCTACAATTACGAATTCGCACAATAGTGGATATTTAAACACGAAGATATTGCTTAAACATTTAATATTCTGCCGCGTCCGTTTACAATAACGAATTAGCGGGAACTAAGGCGTTCAAAGAGTGTCTTACCACGTGCTTAAAAGTCAACATACCTAGTTGCTGGAGGTTCTTTTGGCAGTGTGTTATTCATTATTCACAAACGACGGAAGAACGTCGAAACGCGTAAACAGAGAATTGCCTGTATGCGTTGTGTCGGCGTTTGAGGGCATGGAATCAGGTAGGTTTGTTAGTACGACTTTTTAAATTCGATGCAACTTCTGGCTTTCCAAAAATAACCTGCTTGCTGATGTCGTACTCCACCTTATTTGTGTGTAGAAAAAAATCAATTTTCATGTGCATCAAGATCCGTTCGGCAAAACCCTAGAGTTTAAAATACTCACCTCTCATCAAAAAATGCACTCGAATGCGTAGGCTTAACCTAGAGCACCTATTGGCATGGGCAACTGCCAGAATACAAGGCAATGTACAGTATATATGCCGTCTTGTGAAATTTTAACTGAAATTCTTAAGTGCGTATTTATTTCGGAAAGATTATTTAATTAGGGTTGTAAAGTTAGTTATCATGTCGAAAAATACCAAGATATTCCAGTCACGTCATGGTACTGACTTTCGAACGAGCTTCATATCGACTGTTTACATAAAGTACACTCCGTAAAAATGGCTGCTTAAGAAGCATGGATTTTTCCCATTTAAATTCGATGTCTTTATGAACTCAAATGCATTTTGTGGAAAACACATACAAAAGTGTTCTTTCTTACTCACATAATACCAAATTACGTCTCCTTTAAATTATACTTGAAGAGAGCGTATCTTCCGGTTTTAAAAAAAGTTTCTAATTATGATTTTTTCATCGCATCAGCTCTTTTATTAATGCTGAACAAACTGGCCCACACCCACTACGCAATTTTATAAATCCTACATGTCATCTTCACAATGCCACAGAGAAATATGTGATTTTCCTTACAGGAAACGTACGCGGCTTTTAGTTTGGTAACCCTGAATTCAAGTGCAACGGCAGGTCAGATTCAAGACTATTCGGGGATTGAGAAAGTATTTATATAACCCAACAGTCATTCCTTCTTCAGGGGTAAAATTTAAAGGTGTAAGTTGATACCAAATGGATAAAAAGAACATTTTGTGCATGTTTTGTATAAAATATATTTGAATTTATAGGGCTATCGAACATAAATTTAAAAGATTCATATTGCTTGAGTGGTCATTTTTGCAGATGATCGATGAAGAACTTGTTCGAAAGCCAGCATCTTGTTGACACTGGAATATCCTGTTATTATGCGGCACGATAAGTAATATAGCAACCCTGATTAAGTAGTCTTTTTTAATTAAAAACGCATTTACGAATTTCAACTAGCATTTCATGAGACAGATTTCCGCTCATATTTTCAAACATTCTGGCTGATAAAATTATTTGTAGACATATTCTTCATCCGAAAATGACATTTTCCGGAATAGATTAGGCGAATAAGCAAAATATGCGGCATTTTTGTTGTCTACAATTGGTAGTCTCACTTTCCGTCATCCCAAGTATATCAAAATAAAATGGTACTCTGTCGAAGTACGGATTATATTTGGGTGACTTTGAGTATCTCTCGTGCTTCTGTTGTCCCTTACGTGTGCTCTTAACCGTCACTATGCAAGGAGGCGACTAAATGTCAAAATTATTTCCCAGACGCAGGCCGCTACAATGGTCTCTGTTCCTCACTAATGTGTGGCGATCCTGCCGTCGATGCCGACAATGTCCACAGTGTGCTCCACAGCAAGTTGAAGCAGGCACCGTGACTTGCGCGTGATGTAGCTTACAGTGAATGTAGACTTGCGCTGCATCTACCCCACTCTCTCCTTCTCCCCCACCTGGGCCCGGTGTCATGACAGAGTCAAGAAGACCGGAGGCGGGGGGCGCAGGTGGATCGCGCGGCTAAGCCCGCGCCTTGGCGCTCCACTCCACACCCTCTGGTCCACACAACAGTTAACCAGGATTTTAACTAACAAACCCATCAAAACGGGTCAGAAAGACTACGAGGATGACTGGGCGGCCACGCTCACATATCCAGCAGAAGCGCAAGAGCATCTGCCGGCAGGGAACCAGGTTTCAGAGAGCTGCCAGCGCATACCAGACTACAAAGGCCATGATTTGCTGATCCTGGCATAGCAGACGCTTACAGACCAGCACATCTTCTCTCTGACTGGTTATAAAGCATGCTTCTCACCAAGACGACGCACTTTCGGCCAACAGCGGCCCTGTGAAAGCTTTACTTGACCCGGAACAATACTGCCCCCTCAATTATGTGCTTGTTTTAAATCTGGCCCACCTGGTTGTTGGCATGATTCGGAAAATCCCTTCAAGGATAATCTTATTTTAAAGTTCTCAACAGACAGGTAATGCAGAATCTGTCTCTACGGACGATCGAGTAAAAACACTGAAAATCTTGAAGTATTCAGCAACACTTCGAGGCCGATCTGAAACTCAACGTAATCCAAAACGAACGAAAAGGGTAAATTAATTTGACGAAAGAAAACTTTTCTCTATAAACACAAAATGGTATGTTTAAGATCACGCCTGCCAGTTCTATTTAAATTTATTAGGCACCGACCGGCCTCATGGCATGTCACCTTATGAAAACGCTTTATCCTACGACGTCCCAATCGGTGAAATCGTGCAAAATCCAGGTTCGCTTGTTGAACCCCATCTCATTTACTTCAAACAAATAAAAAAACAGAAATCATTGGAAAACTGTTTTGGAATCTACACTCAGAATGTAGGCAGTTAACAAACCGTTATAAATGAAATCACACTACTTATCAAACGATATTTAGATGTAAACTTCACTAAAACACTATTATTGGGCGTTATTTTATGTCTACTTCCATATTTACAACGTTTTTGGTATGAGAATACATTCTATACATCTAAAAACGAAGTTTACTAAATTAGAGCCATTAATGACGTTTTCGGGATATTGCGCTTTTCAAAATAAATCGGCATTTCTAAACAACGCAACACTGCCTTTGATATTTCTTTTATGTTTTTAATTCCTTTAAACTTGTACTTATTTAACATAGACATTGGACTCACGAAATGGTGTCGGTTTGCGAGTGATTGGCAATCATTCGTAAATTTCGACACATTTCATGAGTTAGGTCACCAACTGTATGTGCGTGGGAGCAACCGGTGAGAGACTAGATGCCATACGTTCGCGTGTTGTAAAACTAAACTCAAATACGTCTGCACGTTTGCATTGACGCACACTGCTCTAACTACGGTTTCAGCGCGAACCGGCTCCTATCCCTTAAACTTACAGGACTTCGTTTTTCTGGTGAAGTGGTTCCATCGGTTTGACTAGGCTTCCTGGCCAGCTACGCGCTTTATGCACCCTCCACTAGCCATTAGCGCGACTTGGGACGCAGTTGGCTTGAGAATAAGTCAATGGTAGCAAAAGTGCGATCTCCAGGGGCATGTCAGCAGGAGAAGAGGCGTTCATTGGGAGTGGGGGGGGTCTATTTGCGGCCTGAAGTTGCGAATAGCGAATTCCGCTATCCATCTTCAAAGTTTGGAGACCCCTGTGCGCAAATCTCATTACAGGGCGTATTTTGACTGATGTGTGGGTCCCCAATACCGGCTGTGGAACTGAATCGGACTTCTGTTTCATCGTGACATCTATCATCCTGCCCTCGTTGACCGTCGCGATGGCTGGATTGATTCACTGACTCTTGTCAAGTAGGTTCGTATAATCAGATATTTCGAGGCAGCCTATGTGATGGTTAGCTAATCTGTCAGTAGGCATTCAGGCTTCTTGCACCTGCCTTGATGTGTGATCATCACTTCGGCCAACAGTCCAGACGACATCAAAGTTGACATGCGTTTTGTTTGCGCGGCGTCAGCTTCTGCCTACTTTGGGCCCTTTAGTGAAACAGTCCAGTGATGTTCCTCCATTCGTGCTTCCAGCCTTCAGCCACTTTCTTCGACGTAAATAAACTTCTGCAGCTGCATTAAAGTCCATAGAAAGGGCCTCCTTTTCCTGTCTAGGAACAGGGGTCGACTAGATCGTAGTTGGTAGCCAGGCCCGTATTATAGGTGGCGGGGGAGTTTGTTTACTGGGGCTATTTTATGGGGCTCCATAATCACATCTGACCCATTTGGCTTCCATTTTACGTTTGAGGTTAGGATTGGGGTACCGGTTAATGGTTTCCGATTTTCGGGTTGGGGTTATGCCTTTAGGCTTATGTTTTCGGGTTACGGTTAGGGATTTAGCGTACGATTAGGTTTCAGTATTACGGTAAGGTTTGTCATTTACGGTTATGTCTAAGGGCCACGGTTACGTTTACGATTTTGGTTAGGGTTGCCGTTATGGTTAACGGTTAACGTTTACGTTTGAGGTTAGGGTTAAGGTTAGGATTAGGGTTTAGGTCGCCGTCCGCTTCCCATACCTGGCTACCAACTCCGATCTAGCCCGGGGGTCGTTTAGCCGCATCAAGTAGGTTCGTAAAATCAGATATTTCGAGGCAGCTTATGTGATGGTTAGCTAATCTGTCAGTAGATATTCAGGCTTCTTGCACCTGCCCTGATGTGTGATCATCATTTCGGCCAACAGTCCAGACGACATCAAAGTTGATATGCGTTTTGTTTGCGCGACGTCAGTTTCTGCCTATTTTGGGCCCTTTAGTGAAACAGTTCACTGTTGTACCTGTATTCGCGCTTGCAGCCTTCGACCACTTTCTCCGACGTAAATAGACTTCTGCAGTTGCATCAAATTCTACAGAAACGGCCTTCTTTTCCAGGCTAGGAAAGGGGGTCATCTAGCAGCATCATTTCTCATTGAATTGTTCAGTCAGGTCTGAGAGAAACTCCTATTCCAACTAGTGTGGATGATCTTGCCACGGCCTCTAAAAATCCCTTTACTTATGGTATAAAGTAGGTGGGCCAACTCATGAAATGTCAACAAAAATTCGGAAATGCGTTTCCGTTTCGAAAAGATTGATTAAGTAGTGTTGTAAAACCAATCCTCGTACAGCATAATTCTATAATAATTCACCTATCTCAGGGTGCCGACTTTCGAACGAACTTCCTTTCGACTGCATCTCAAAACCATACTCCGTAAAAAATGGCAATCTAAGTAGCATACATTTTTCTTATTGATTTTCGATGCCATTAAAGATTCAATTATATTTCATGCAAAGCATGCATGAAAATATTCCTTCTCTTGCTCATTCAGTAAAAGATTACGTCTTCTTTTAATTTCACAATCGAAGGAAGGGCATAATTTGTTGTATAAAACATTTCCGATTCCCGAATACTTTTGAACCCAACCTGCCGTTACACTTGCATTCAGGGTTCCCAAACTACAAGCCGTATAATTACGGCGTACGAAAATCCATACATTTCTCTACAGTAATAAACGGGGATCATGTAGGGTTCATAAAATTAAGCAGTAGATTTGAACCACATTATTAACTTTATAAGGCCCATTGGTAAATGCAGAGACATGATGTTTTATGAACGGCCAATTCATGAAATTAAAAAATTTCACAAATAGAAACTTTTTGACAACCGAATTATACCCTTCCATCGAGTGTAAAATTGAAAGACGTAATTTTCTACCGAATATGCAAAAGAACGAATACTTTTATGCATACATTCCTTGAAATATAATTGAATCGTTAAGGGCATCGAAAATCAATGAGAAAAATGCATGCTACTTGCGTTGCCAATTTTTACGGAGTATGGTTTTGGGACGCAGCTGAAAAGAAGTTCGTTCGAAAGCCGGCGCCCTGGGATAAGTGAATTATTATGGAATTATGCTGCACGATGATTAGCTATACAACCCTACTTAATTGATCTTCTCGAAACGGAAACGCATTTCGAGATTTCTGTTGACATTTCATGAGTTAACCCACCTACTGTTCACCGCCATGAATACTCCCAACGGATACGAGTGGGTAGCCCGGTGGCTATGAATAGTCTTCGAAGGGACATAATTCCGTCTCGTTTGGCGGCTAGCGTTCTGCAATGTGTTTCTACCCTTTAATATAGGTGTGCATGCAACCTAGTTTGTGCTTCGTCAGGTTTTTGTTGTTGTTGTTGTTGTAAGTGGGGACTGACGGCGTGTTAATAGGTTTCCTGAAGACTGTCGTCAGCACCTAGGCGGCTGGTTGGGGGCAGGCGAGAACGGTCAGGGACGAAATTCTGGCGTTCGTTACAAATAATCAATCTTGTTTTTGTCGATGGTGACAAGGGTGTCGCCGGTACAGCATGCCTGAAATTAGGCCTTTCACCCCTTGAACAGCCGTCATTGCGGTTTTTAGTCCACCACCTCATCAAGAAGTCCGGCGATTGGTGAGCCCATTGAGGTATCTTGACCTGCTCGCTTGTGGCCCCCTTGAGGTGGAACAATGTCTCTAGAGCGAGTCTCACGGCGTTCATTGGGTCCTGAGACGTATTCTAGCTATCGTTAGACCCATAATGAACCACTTTCGTTGAACGCCTCTCCCACTTATGACATGAATAAGTCTGAAAGAACTGCTGTCTGGATCCTACCGGCTTACTGTTTCTCCACATGTTGCATCTCGAGTTGCGAATTCCCATAGTAGTATTCAGAATATGACTTGGTGAGCATGCGTTGCTTTCGATAAATTCTTCCCCTGCCAGTACAATAATAGGGGATAGGGCTACAGTCAAACATGTCAGTGATTGGAAAATCGATAAAAGTTAGTTTTAAAAGACAGACGGGTTGAGAGCGGAAGGACGCAGAAAGTTGCATGTGGTTAATCACTCTTTGCCCACGGTAGGCGCGGTGCCTGAACGATTACACCTCCCTGCATGGCTGGGAAAAGGCGAAACTTGGAGCATAAGCAGCGCCATTCTTGCGCAGGCAGTTGATTCCGGACATCTTGTGGGCCCCGTTGAAGCCTTTCCTGTGATTTATAAGGTCCTTTCGAGCTATCCTAAGCAACTGGGTCAGGGCCTGTTAGCGACAACAGAAGCGGCCGCAATCAGGTTACGAAAACCAACCCTATGCGCCCAAAAGGACCTCATTCAAGTTTCGCGCTTACCTTGGGCAAAGGTTGCCTAATCACATGCAACTTTTCGCTTTCTTCCGCTCTCGTCCCGCCTGTCTTTTAAAACTAACTTTTATCGATTTTCCAATCAATGACATGCTTGTCTGTACCCCGTTCCCATATAATTGTACTGGCATGGGGAGCATTTATCGAGAGCGACTCATGCTCGCCAACTCGTCTTCTGAATATTGCATTTCTTGGCCAGCTGGAGAAGAAGCCCTTAAGGGTCTCTATCTCGAGGCCAAAAGGCAATGGGTTGTTAGTTACCGACAGTAGACCAGACGGAATACCCACCTATTTCACCTCCTCCACGTGGACTGTCGCCTCGGAGTAACTGGAAGACCAACAATTTGGCAGCAGACTCCTCGCTGTGGAGTGGATACCAGTCAGCTAGGAGAGTCAGAATATCCTCCTGACGAAACCAGAAGAGGAGTTCCTCATTGAAGTTCACGAACCGGATGACTCTGTAGAAGGTGCGACCGGTGGCACTTTGGCGAATGAGTTCCAAGTTCTGTTCGGAGGGATTGCGGGCAGCACGCAGGTGACAGATCCATTCGAGCAACCGAATGGGTTCCGACAGCCGAAGAGGATCGTCCTGTCGTCGAGAAGGGACTTTGACAGGCGGTTATTGAAATTGAGGGCGCCTACATAATTTTTTAAAGATTTTTATCCCTTTGACTCAGTTGTGTTAATTCAATAAAAAAAACTTGCACACTAACCACATACTAGCCTCGAGATGTTTGCGTCTAGTACCACAAGATGTCCTACGCCAACATTGGTTTTTAATGGTTGCACCGTATCTATTCCTCTTTTTACTCCAATGAAGACGCTTTCTGGTTAATAGCTCTTTCTCCCCATTGGTGGGTTTCCTGTGATCTGCCATTATGATGAGTCTATTTTGAAGATACCAGGTTTAACAGAAGTAGTATCGGGTAGCAATCGGGAGATGACACCCAAAAAACTCTGTTACCTAGAAATAATACCTTCAGGCTATATCAGCGGTTGCAGGCCTACTTTCACGCACTACTTGGACTTTCTCCGACGGCCTAACATGGGCTGGCCGAATGAACATCGCAGGAGGCTGCATGGACGATGGTCGCTGTTGCCCAACCTTCCCCATCGTTACACACGTACACCTGAATATACGGCATACATTCGTATTATGGCAGTTTATTACAAAACAAAATCACTTTTAAATAGGATAAGTCTGCACAACATGGGACAGGAACAGTTCCCAGGCATCTGTCAGAGACATGGTATTAAGGCCAAACCAAAGACGATACTGTACTTCGTTTATGTGAACCCACGGACCTCGACCGCATACAGGGCCTCCCTCGTGGAGTTTCCTTTTCATTCTACTCCAGTATGCCTCAATGGCATTGGTGTGCCGTCCGGTGGTAGGGTTCTTGAAGTTCTTTGAGTGGTTAACAGAGAAATGTAAATAACCCTTAGAGGGAACACGATTATACGCCTTCCACTCGTCCGTTACCATTATACCGCCTTTGGCGACCTATTTTGCAATAACGGAACGGAGAGCGGGCCAACTTCGATCATTCATCTGTTTAAATAAGGCTTTCCGTCGGCTAGTACCGTATATCTCGACCAGCCACCACCCATAAACCCTATTACCACCTGTCCCCTAAGACAGGCTGCTTTGGTTAGGCGGTTTTTTTTGGGTGCCATCTACCGATTGTTACCTAATATCAGTCGGTTCTTGCATTATCAAAATGTGCTCGTTAAACTGATTAATGGTACCCACGACGATTATAAGGTTCGCATACGCTACTTGCAAGAAATCTTGCCACTGATGTTTGCATCTCCTGCTTCTCATGGACGCCGATGTATGTTTTTACGCGCCCCTGGTAAGATTCGGGAGTCCCACAACAGCCTTCATCGCTTCCTTTTACTCACAAATGGGCCGACACGTGAATAATCAATGCGGTTTGGGCGAATTGTTGAGAAGTCGGAGACAAATGAGCTTTTGGACGACATGAAGAAACCAACCACCTCGAACATCAACAAGATCAGAATCTCGACATGCGGAGTGTTAGCAATGAGAGCACTCAGCTGGAGAACGGAATACGTCAACCTCTCGTAGGCAGGATACTCCGTGCGCCGCATTGATTTTTACCTCAACCATCAGACGCTAGCTACGTATCGGCGCACCCGCCCTCAGCGTCTCGTCAAAAAGATCTTTCTGCCAGTATAGCAAAAGCCAACGCACTGACGTCGGAGGAGGCAGTCCCATCCCTAAAAGATCCCTTCCAGGGTAACGCGGCGAATGAAGGCCTGAGAAGATGTCTTGTCCAAGCTCTTTAACGAACCTCCTCAGTAGCAAGAGTTCGGTTATTATTCTCGACTATCCTTGTTTTACATGGAGAAGATAAGGATTGGCTGCCAGCCCAGACCATTGCCAAGCGCATTTACTCTCTATCTTGCTCCTGTGGAGCTGGTGGTATTGGTTGCAGTAGTCGGAGGCTATTCAGAAAAATACGGAAATATCACCCAATATGGCTGAGAAAAAGCGAAATTAGGAGCATAATCAGTGCTATTCTTGCACGCATCGTGTGGACTCCAACGAAGCCTTCCTTGTGACTTACAGGGTTACTTCGAACTACTCAAAGCCAATGGAACAGTATCTATCAGTTGTATCAGAAACGACTGTAATCAGGCTACACAATCTAGCCTTGTGCGCACGGAAGAAACTCGTGCAGGCCCTGCAATGGGCGTGGCCAAAGATTCGCTAACTGCAGGCAATTCTGCGTTCACTCCTTCCCCTGACACTGATCTTCCTAATTCTCTCCCCATCTGAACCAACCATCGTCACTAACTGCCCCCAGTTATCCCCTAATATACCCCACAACTCACTTATGTATAGAGGTAAGCATTACTCGATTTTTCTTATTACCCACGTGTTTTTAATTGACCCGTTGCCACATAAATGTACTACCATGCTGGTAATTCCTCTAGGGCAAATTTATGTTCACCGCCTATTCCTCTGAGTTTTATCATAATTTAAAGCATACAAAAGGGCCTACTTTGCAAAGTGACCGAAATAACCTCGTTTGTAGCCTTTACAGTTAATCCAAAAAACTCCTCTCAAATCGTTAGCATTCAAGATAGGATTAGAAGGAAGTACCTGTGCACTTCTAGCTGTCAAACAGTCATTCGACTTTATGTAGATTTAGAAGGTCACTGGGAACGCCCATAAAACTTAACTAATTATAATTGTTTGAGCGAGATCCTCCAGGATCAAGATATCCTGATTAAGTACTAATATTAGTATTCGCGTTCATGCCTGGCATTAATGAGCACCTGTGTATATTCCTTTTTACTTAAGAGAATATTTAACAGTGTCGGTCCCTGCCTCGTGGGACACAAACCTTGTTTCATTGTAGACGATGCTTCTAACTGACAGGTTAACGTCGGAAATTTAATGCCAGAAATCTAACTCCAAATTTTTGAACAGTCTTCATATGACTCTGCAAGGTGGCACTTAATTGATCAGCTGCATATTTAGTAAGGACGCCAGGCGCAGCTGACTAGACAACAGTCATGATACATCTCGTTGCACGTGTTTGATTAAAACTTTGGCCGAATAACAAATCACGGAGACTTACGCATAATGTGGAATTTCGATCTGACCCACCCAAGCGCTTCCTATTGTTAGCGGAGTTTGTGCAGATGTGTGAGGCGTGGACTACTTCGAAGTACTCATAACCCCTACTTATTACTTTCTGAGTACTATTTAATTTTGTTTTATTTCCTCGATACTGTTTGCCTTCTTACTTCCCTCTTTTGCATCGAGGAAAAAAGCGGTGACCATTTGGAAACTTGAAGACTTTATAAAGCATCATTTGCTGCATGCGAAAGAACTCAGTAAGAGCGGGCTTAATACCCGAATATGCTGTTAAATGGAGAAGACTACTTCAGTGCGGTTTTAATAGAGATTAATTCACATGAGACACGTCTGTGCTGTTGATTAGGCATTTTTCTGGACACTTGCAGAAGTCTTGATTGAAAAATTGGCTACCTAGGTGATGTGTGCCCTTTCCATTTTATTCCCGACATCTATATTCATTCAAATATACCGCCATGAAAAGGCAGTTCTATCTTATTTAAGTGTTGGGGGTACAAAGGCAATATATTCCGAAACTAAGTGCCATGTGTTTTTATAAAAAAAATGATTTACCTCTGCGCTTCCACTAAGAAGGGATCTTCTGTACTTCGAAAGTTGACTCAAAAGACACACATCCTGCTGTAAAACTTCTGGGCGACGCTAGTAAACGTGAAGATGTTCAGTTGGATACATACTCATGCGAACATTCCTGAAAGTCTCAGGAAGCAGTAAGGGTGGCGTTTCCGCACCCTCCTCACAATATATTTACAGAAGATTGCTAATTGTATCGATTAGACAGCTCGTTATAATTTAATGAAGATGCTTCACGATTACCACAAAAGCAGTTCGCACAACTCTCTTTTTGGATTGAATTACCCACGCGCCGGCGATTTCCTGCGTGCCAGACTTGGCAGCATGACGTTACGGTATGCGGTTCGTTCTACGTCGTGTGACTTTTCATGATTTCAATGGCTTCCAGATAACCGGAATGACCAGTTTGACGCCACGGCATACGCATGCTCAACATTTCAGGCATTTTAGACCTAAACGGTTCTTTTCAGTGGTGAGCATTCAGACTGTAGAGCACGCTGCGGCGTCTAACTACTCACTCTGGTCCGATGGATGCCATTCGCGTGAGTAGACGGACTGTGTGCTGGGCTATGTAGTTGTTCACTGCGGCGAAGTAAAAGACCGTTTAAGGCTTATGATTAGAATTAGGCAGAATCGCACGTGATGGGACGAACCGCATACTATAACGTCCGACTGTCAAAGCCCACGCGCAGAAAGCCACTTGTATGATTTGGAGTATGAGTGAACAGCAAGCTCATTCATCACTCATACGAGAATGGTGGATAAAAGGAGTTCGCAGGAGGATGATGTGCATACAAGTCTCTCTAGCCGACATAAGTGCACATTTAATTCAGGCAAGATTTGTGAAAATAGTTGGAAGGATGTTCAATCAACAGCAAGCGCCGTGTGACATGGAGCACTGTTATATAAGCAATAATTCAACAAATTATCAGCCGATAATTTCACACAGTACCCGTTATTCAAGGCAATCTTCAGCGAACAGCTCAGTTTAGCACCACCTGACTGTTTTAGATTAACCGTCATGGGAAGTACTCCATTGTGGTTGGAACGCAGATGTTGTGTGGGAGTTTAAATTTGTCTATATTTAGGAGGGCAGACCCCTTTCTGGAGTTTGGGAGCAATTTCTTTAGCCGTTTATGCGGGAGTATTCCCTGACACTTTGCCTGTTATTCCTGTCAGAAGATCTGTAAGCTCAGCCCCAGTTTATTTCTGCGCGAACTTGTTAACACCTTATGTCCCAAAAACTCGTGGCTTTTGAAAGCACTCTTGTGACGCGCCCATATCACAGTTTAATTGGGTGGGCTGTTTAAGCAGGCTCGGAAGATCGTCGTTGACTGTTTATTTGCGTTAAGTTTGCTCCGAAATTTCTCCAGCAAGCTGTACCCACCACGGTGAAAAGCTAGCATGGTTGGCTTTGCCGAGTCACCAACAGGCTACTGCGTACCACCCTATTCAGAGTTCGGTCGTTCTGCGAAGTCAGTCGGAGGGAGATTGGTCAGGCAGTGACTGGCAGCCATTGAGGCGCCGGGCCAATCAACAAACCAGAAACCAGCATCTGACAGATGTAACCCGCAACGCAATCGTAAAGTTCTCGGTATTCTAAATTCGCCACCAGAGTTTCATATGAAATTGCCTCCCTATGCTGTTACTAGTAGTAGTATTAGTAATAGTAGTAGTAGTAGTAATAGTAGTAGTAGTAGTAGTAGTAGTAGTAGTAGTAGTAGAAGTAGTAGTAGTAGTAGAAGTAGTAGTAGTAGTAGAAGTAGTAGTAGTAGTAGTAGTGGTAGTAGTAGTAGTAGTAGTAGTAGTAGTAGTAGTAATAGTAGTAGTAGTAGTAGTAATAGTAGTAGTAGTAGTAGTAGTAGTAGTAGTAGTAGTAGTAGTAGTAGTAGTAGTAGTAGTAGTAGTAGTAGTAGTAGTAGTAGTATATAAACCACGACGGGGAAGAAAGCAAAACTCGTCCCTGTTTGATGTCCACACCATAAGTTAACTAGCGCTCAGAAAGAGGGGGGGCTTTTAGTGGCAGAAATGGGAGTCAGGTTGCAAGGAACATTTTTTGTGTCCCTACAACAAATCTCACGAGTAGCACACTGCGGAGAGAAAAGTACAGTTCCTTGGGGTCGAAAGGTCCCTCAGGTCGAAAGTTACGATATCAGAACGCTACAATTTTGAAAAAGGAGAGCAGTATCTCGGTTCTGACAAATCTAGACCTTTTCATTTTCTCGTAGATGCATTTTCAGTTGCTACCGCTGATCAGTAATCTTCGTGGTTGCACTTTACTAGCATGTTTAAAAACGTGCGATCAGCGATGTCACACAGGCTGAGGGTACATAGTCGCTCTGGTAAGGCTATCTAGTGTGGCGAAAAAAATATATGCTCATACTGAGTCTTTATCAAGGAGTCTGGAGCTTTAAGAATTCTGAACGTCTAAGTTAATCCTGATGCACAAGTGACGCCTCTGTGACCCAATAAAGGGCCTTCCGGATAGTGCGCACAGTGCCGTAATTCTCTCAGGTAACGAAAGGGGCTATCGAAGAGTCAGGAACGTAGGTTTTCGGTAACTCGTCATCAGGCCGACACGAGAGTACTGCATAGTCATCATGCCAAGCCAGCTCTCCTTTTCGCGTGCAGTTGGCTTTGAAAGGGCCTCTTTTACCCTAAAAGCCTTACATTGGGCAGTTTTGAGGCACGGGAATGTGCCCTCATTGTTGATAAACACGACTAACCAGGTATTCACTTTTATAGACGACCGTAATAAGCCATATGCACCGGTCAGTGCGAATTCATCCAAGCCCCCTGGGTATGAATAAGATACGTTTGGGTATTTCTATCCTTGGTTCTGCGAAAATTCCCATGTTACGATTGAATAGTCAGTTGGCGAACATGTATTTTCGGTAACTCATCATAAGGC